AAGCTGCTCTCAACCCCTGCTGGACATCCAGTCCACTAGTGTTCAGTTCTGGGGGCCACACAGCAAGCAGCACATCAATGGTAGCCAAAGCAGGGTGTTAGGGTAGCACAAGGCACCTGGCCAAGGCAGAGCCTTTTGCATGCAAGCAAGGTTTCCTGGTGAGCAGTTATATCTGCCAGGAAAAAGCGGGGATTTTTTTCTAATGGCACAAAAATGCCATCAACTAAACACACAAGGAACCTAGAGATCACTTTCTGGGAAGTTGGAAATCTAGAAAGGTTTCCTGGGAGAAAGACAGACCATGGGACTTACAGTCACTGTCAGACCCAGCTCAGAAGCCCTGTTCCCAGCCCTCCAGAATAATCATTTTCTGAGAGAACAGGGATTTAGCCATCCTGGTCCCACAATCAGGCTCCCCCTTGCTTCTTCTCTGACCTCCCAGGGTTATGTTCCTGTTCAGAAAACTGGGCTCTGCCTCGTTCTTTTAAAAATTAAAAAAAAAAAAAAAAATAGACATCCATAGGATGGTGGTCAAGAGCATGGGGAATCAACTTGAAACTTTAAACTTAAGTTTGGTATCAGATGTTGCTTAGGGACTGAGTGATCTTGAGCAATGCTCCTACTATCCGAGCCTCCTTTCCCCACAAATAAAATGGGCAGGACGTGGTGGTAATAAACCAGCCTCAGAGCACCAGGTGGATATTAAACGACATGATCCTTATAAAAGGCTTGGCATGGGACATAAGAAAAGCTATGTGGTAGGTCCCCTGATGATCAGCCTGTCAGGATCTCCCCAAGTGCCCACTGACCTAGCCCTGAACCTGAGCCCGGGGCCCTGTAACAGGTGATAGGCATGCCAGGCCTTGGCCAGCTGCCTCCTGGACTTCCCACAGTAGGGCTCTCCAGATCTGCCTAGCACATGTGGCTATTGAGCACTGGAAATAGGGCAAGTGCAACTAAGGAACTGAATTTTAAATTTTATCTTATTTTAATTAATTTACATTTAAGTGTAAATATCTACACACGCCGGTCACCGCCTTATTGGATAGCGCCGAAGAAAAGATCTGCCAATGGCATGAATGACTATGGGCACTCTTCAGTGGCGATGGTCAAGCTGAGGTCGAATAATCTTAAAGGGGGGCGGGGTGCAGAAGAATCCTTGCATTGGGTGGATCCTTTCCACTTTGAACTGCTGGGGTCCTCTCCACCTCTCTTCCTCCACATCCAAGTTTTGCCACCTAACCATGCTGTCACTTGGTGCCAGGGGTCCGAAAGGACCGGCCAGCAGGTCCACAGTGACAGGTGCAGGGCCTGCGCTGGTGTCTGCGCCTCCAGGAGGAGCTTAGCATGTCCCAGCAACAAAGGCTGATGCTGTTTGCATTTTGTTTTCAATCAGCTAAGAAACAGGAAGCCCGAGTTCAATTGTTCCCTGCCCGGGAGTGATGCACACAGCTCTCTCCTGGCTGGTGTTTTTCAGAACAATGGAAATAAATCTGATGTAATGTAGCAGAACATGACAAAGAATGGTTTTCCCCTTAACAAATACTCATTTGAAATGGTGCCCAAACCCTGCACGAGGAGCGATCTATTTCCCACAACAGTGTTCCAGCAAAACCCATTACTAATTCCACAACTCAAATTAAAACTAACAGAGCTTGAAGGCTGGGGCTGACACACTCTGCTGACAAGGAGCGAGGCAGGAGGGTGGGGGAAGGGGCCCGGCACACTCGCGTGTGTATGTGTTTAATTACACTGTTTAACACATTGAGAATAATTTAGCCACCCAAGTGGAGAAAATAAGGCACTTAACTGCTCTCCGGCGGAAAAAAGCCCCCCCATGCAAACCACTTTCAGCTATCTGACACCTAGGCACACCTCAGGGCTCTGGAGAGAGAAGAGGGGAACGGAGAGAGAGGCAGACAGAGTATGGAGAGGCAGAGGGGGGAGGAAGGAGATAGGAGGAGGGGGAGAGGGAGAGATGAAGGCAGTGAGAAACAGAGGGGAAGAGAAGGAGAGGGGAGAGGTAGATAGAAAAGAAAAAGGGAATTTTGTACATATACAAATTGCAAGTTGGGAAGGCACATGCCTATTTCTCAAGGAGACCTAGTATGAAGTGGTCTAAAGGTGAACATGAACATGAATTTTAGAGTTTAGAAAGGAGCTTAACACCTAGACCCGTGCCTCCCCCACTTCAGCGTCAGCTCAGTGAGTTTCCGGCCTTTGTGGCCTGAAAGCTGTGAGTGGGGTGTGTGGCCCCTAGAAAGGCCTCAGAGGAAGACTCTGTGGGCTCACTATGCAGGAGGAGAAACTGAGGCTTAGGGTCAGAGAAGTCTGGCCAGCACTTGGCAGAGACTCCTGTCCAGCCCCCAGCTTCAAGGTGGGCGATCTGGCCTACAAGCCAAGCAGGTCACTGTCGCTGCCAAGGGGCATCTTCTTTTCTGTGTCTGGGCTGAGAGGGGTCTGAGGTCATCTCTAACCCACCAAGGGTCATGGGAGCCAGAGAAATGGAGGAAGGCTCTAGCATGGCTTCAGATTTGGAAAGCTCCCAGACCTAGAACCAGTAGCAGAGGAATAAGTATTCAGAACAGAACCACCCCTTGCCTTGCAGGGACTCTGGGTTCAGCACTGGGGCTGACAGCCAAGGGGATGCGTGGCCTGAGAGGCAGAAAACCAAAACCACCCTCTGTGGCCCCCAGACAGTGCAGCCCCAACCTCCTCGCTCCCTGGTGCCCTCACCGTGTGGACCCAGCCTCTTCCGAGACCTAGGGTCTCAGGAAGCTCAGAGACCTCAGCTGATGGGTCCCTCGCAGGAGCGCCCATGGGGTAACAAAACCATCGCTTGCCAGGCAGAGGGCAGTCTGTGCCGCTCCACTGAGGCTGTGAATCTCGGGCACTCTGCCCCCCTCCTCTTGCCCGTTTCCCCTTTGGAACTCTCCAAAGGCTGGACTTTCTTGTAGCTGCTTTCCAACTGTAAAATTGTGTTTCTGGAATGGAGATTGTGGGTTCTTATGTACCCTAACTGATATTGCTGGGCAGACAAAATAGGAACCCACTGAATATATTATTCCTTTCAGTTAAATTGGGTTCATCATGTGCAAACAAAAAAATGAAACTTGCCGTTGCATGAAAAGACCCTCCTTCCCATTCCCAGAGTTCTCCGATCCTCTGTCATTTAATCACAGATGAAGCCTAGAAAGGTACTAAGTTAGACTGGCGAGGTGTTCTGAGGACAAAGTAGAGCTTTCTTTCTGGGTTCTGTAACTATATGTGCCCCAGAAACACTGTGTAATACTTGGTATGATCTTGGGATTTCTGGGCATGGATTTTTTTTCTACCCATAAAGAAAAGTCTACTTACTTAGCTAATTCCAGCTCCTTCTTAAGCAAATTAGAGGGCTTTAGGATATTGGGGCCTGTCATATATAATCTGGGTCTTATGAGCTGCTATTTCTGACCCATCCTCCCCAGGTAGCCCAGGCTCCAGACTGCTCACCTCCCAGAGGCATGAACCACAGAAGGTGTAGGCAGGCCCTGTGGGCCCTGGGTCCTTAAGGTTCTTTGGAAGCTGATACCACATTTAGATAATCCATTTCTTCTTAAATGATTTCCTCTTGGCCTGTCTTCTTGGGCTTTCAGCAGACGCAGACAAAGAGAGGTAAAGGAAATGGATGAGACAGACACAGAGGGACAGAGAGCCCCGACGGAGAGGGGCAGGGAGACGGAAAGACAGAGACCGCTGGTGGGTTGGTGGGTACGGAGATCCTGAGGAAGAATAGGAGAGTAAGGAGGCCAACCTGGCTATGTAAAGTCCTTCTCATGCAAGCCCAGCATGCTGTGGTGTTGAAACAGAGCCCAACGTCGCTGGCTTTCTTACCCCTCAGATGTGAGCACTCAGGCATACAGTGGCGGGCAAGGACCACTCTGAAGTCCCCTCCTGTGATAACAGGTCCGTAGGCCGAGATCCAGGGCATGGCTCTGGCCACAGCACAGGGACACCAGCAGCTGGAGCTCAAACATCCCAGTGTGAGCCTGGCATTTCTGGGCGTCCCACGCCTGGGGAGGCCATGGGGTCGACGGGGCGGAGTGTGGGACTGGGAGCGTGGTGCTGGCTCTGCCAATGGCCGCCCCCCACTCTGGTGAGGGGGTGGCAGGGGTGGAGAGAGAGGGTCAGTAGCACCAGCAGCCAAGCACGCTAAGGGAGAGTCCCTTGGCCAGCCAGCTCCAGGACTTCCGACCATGGCATGTCCCAAGAAGGCCCAGGCCGAGCTGCTTGCTCGGAGCCTTTTCCGAAATCAAGGTTCCACCCAGGTGGATGGGTCACACTCGTGGGGACAGGGACAGGGCATGGGTCAGTGGGAGAGGAAAAGTCTTTTGAAAAGATCTTCTGAATTAAGCATGTCAAAGAGCACCATGAAAGAAAAGAAAGAATGTGTGTGTGGAAAGGGGAGTAAAGCAGAGAAGAGCAGGCTGAGGGGGGTTTAGGCCTCTGTGAGTTCCCATGCTCCATCCTTCCTTCTTTCTCATTCCACCCTTAAAAAAAAATCAAGAAGGGGCACCTGGGTGGCTCAGATGGTTAAGCTTCTGCCTTCAGCTGGGGTCATGATCCCAGGGTCCTGGGATGTCTGGCTCCTGGCTCAGCAGGGAGAGCCTGCTTCTCCCTCTCCCTCTCCCCTTGCTCATGCTCTCTCTGTATCTGTGTCTCAAATGAATAAATAAAAAAAATCTTAAAAAAAAAAATCCAAGAAGGCCAGAGCACTGGAGAGGGGTTGGGGTAGGCAGGGGAGATGGGAGAAAGAGGAGCAGAGGGTCTAGGAGCCTGCCTGCGAGCGGTGTGAAGAGGCCCTGGTGGGAAGGGGAGGGGCAGGCCAGGAGGGGGAGGGACCGTGCCTGAAGAGCCTCAGCTTGAGCCAGGAGGAGATGCCGCCCCAGGAAGCCTCGGCCTCCCTCCCGCTGCCTGGGCTATGTACCAGAACAGGCAAGGCCCCAAGGGAGCCATGGGGAGGCCTGTGCCCATCTGGAGAAAGTGACGTGGCCACAGGAAGAAGGCAGGGTTTGCAGACAGTGTCAGAGGGAGACAGCAGTGCTGGATCAGGATGGTCTCAGAGTCGAAGGAATGTGCCCGTGGTGGCCGGCAGTCAGAGTCCTAGGAGCCAGGCCATCCTGATTGCCTCTGCCCCGAGTTTCTCCAAGGTAAGGCCATCTAAAAGTTTAACTTTAGTACTTGAAAGGATGCTGGGGATTTGGGAGATGGAGCATAATGATGTAGCTTACTGGTTGGCAGCCATTTCTGGGTAAGGATTAGATTGGGGACAAGATGTGATGTTTGGTGAGGAGAACCGAGGAAACAGTCCTAGGACCTCTCCTGTGCCCAGCACTGATCCAGATGTGGGTCACTGGCCACGTCTCTTGAAGCAGGTGTGTGGTCACTTGTGGTGGAGACACACCCCTTGGGGTCCGTGGTCCACAGGCTGTGATGGGGTCCGGCTCAGGTCTCTGAGCTGCAGGAGGTCCTGGTCAGGCCTGATCCACAGCTATGGGAGGCGGGCACAGCAGGGCTGACCCAGCCAGGGAACAGAAGGCAGAGTACTGCCCGAGGGACCATCATTTCAGAGAGAAAAGAACCAAAGGTCCTGGCCACTCTCAGTTCTAAATGTCCCTTGTGGCTGTTTTGGCAGAGTGAGAATGGTAATCCCAGAGCCCAAGGGCTCAGAGGCAGCCCCTCTCCAGTCACTATCTCAGGACAGGACACGGTGCATCCTCCCTACGACCCCAGCAGGAGGCAGCCGAGGGACCAGCCTTCATTTCCATACCCTTATGCCAGCTCTTAAAGACCGCCATTTGTTTATTTATTATTGGTCTCTGAGCAGGATGAGATGACCCTCAGCTGCCTTTCAGCAGGAGCGGCTCAGTTCACAAGGGGCTGGAGGGATCACCTTGTTCAACTAGCTTAATTATTTAAAATGAGGAAATAAGGTTTGGCCAAGCTTTTCCTAGTTTCCTAGTTGTTCCTAGTCCACTTGCAGACTGGTGAGCATGCACAGCCTTTCCATTAGATCACAGAATTTTTTACTCAAAACAGTTTGTGCAAAGCAAAAGGCAGTGCATGGTAGAGAAGAGTCCCCTGAGAATTCGGAGATTAAGACAGAAGCCAGACGGAACCCCAGGGTGGCCAGGGCCCGAAGCAGGACTTCCAGCCCGGCTTTGGGGATTGGAAGCGCTGGCCCTACTCAGTTTGACCAGTTTCTTTGTTTTGGCCCTTCTCAGAGCCTTCCTCTGCGAATCTGCATCAGGATTGTACCGGGAGGGAGGGGAAAGCAGGAGGCACAAACACCTGTGGTGGATTAGACTCATCACCCAATGTGTTGAGTATTGAGTCCTCCTGAAGCTATCACTCCCTCCCCCCCGAAAAAAAAAAAAAAAAGTTTAGGTCCAGCTGGGAAAGGTGGAGCAATTCAAGAAGATAGGCCGAATCACTCTCCTGTTTATGCCACCTGGGGGTCAGCGAAGTTCGGTTTCTGTCCTGGGACAAGCAGGGCAGTTGGCAGGTCTTAACCCACTGTAACTACAGAGGGAAAATGTCTGCACTTCTCTAGTCTGATTAGCTTGGGTTTAAGCAAAACAGCGAGAGCTTGGTCTCCCTAAGAACAGAAGCTCATCTCAAGGATGACCCGGCCTGAGCAGCCCCAGAGGCGGAGGCACTGCCTGGGAACAGCTCCTGGTCACAGGAGCCGCCTCAATCTCTGAAGTGGTGATCAGTCTTGTGGTTAACCCGGATTTTTCAACTTTGTTCTTGTAATTATTAAGCTAGATCATCCGAAAACAAAAGGCAAGCCCTGGGCCCCATTCCTGCCTTCCACAAATATGAAACATGTACTACGTGTCAGAAATTGAATGTGGGTGAACAAGGAGACAGGATTCCTCCCATCAGAGGATCCCTTATGGCCAGTGTCGCCCTGGAGGTTGGGACTTGGAGTACAAAAGCAACGGGGACTCGGTGTTAGAGGACATATATGCCAAGCTTGGATGATCTTCTCTTAGGGAGTCGACTCATCCTTCACCCTGTTTTCCTTCAAGCCAACCTTGGACCATTTGTACCAGGAGTCCCAGATTTTTGGAGCTACTGGATACATCTCTCTGATGGGGAGACTTAGCATGTATGTAATTAAGGCGCTCTCTGGGGGAATTCATATGCCCACTGGAGTTTGGACCACTACTGTGGTCCAAAGTCCAGGGAGGTCACCATTCACATCCTACCTGCTTCCTAGATGGGTGTATCTGATGTCAGCGGTGTTCCCGTGGGAGTCAGGTGAGGGCTGGCCAGCTCCCCCGTGCTCAGCAGCAGCTTTGTGGGATGGAGAGCGGTGGTGGCAGAGGAGGGTCACAGTCTCCGGAGAAAGTGCAGGCAAGCAGGATTGGCAGAGTCCATACTCCTTCCCGCAGCAGGCTCCTCCTTATATGGGCTCACCAGGGAATGCCCCACTTTAGTTAAACAGTGACTCCTGGACCAGACCTCGGGGCCTCCTGGAGAAAGGATATTGTTTTCAACTGCAAGGTCTTCCAGTCACCTCCTAATCCCAGCTCACTTCCTGGAGCCCCCAGCTGAGCGGCCAATGTCTTGGCTGCCTGGAGTGTGTTTTTTTTTCATTGTTTCCAAGTATTTACACCAGGAATCAGGAATGGGGGAATGCGTGTTTCTACAGAAGCTCTCAGAACATTCTCACACAGCAAAGGGCGGTTGCCATGTGTTGCATATCAAGAGGGGCCCCTCAAAGTAAGTCACATCACATGGGCCTTCTGCTGGAGAGAGCATCTACTTTCCGCAAACAGGTCGTGGAACACATTAACCCCTGGGCTTGGTGAGCCCTGGGGGCAAGGTCGGCATCCTCGCTGCTTAATGGATCCGGGAGAAAGAGAGGAGAACCTGGATAGCAGGGCTCACCCTAGGTTCCAGGTGAGAATGATAAAGTAGGGAATGCAAGAAGAAAAATGTGGAAATCAGCAGAAACTGATGGAACTGGATCGATCCGGAACACGGAAGGCAGAACTGGAGCACTTGCCAAGTGTGGCTGAGACTGTGCCCCAGGGAGGCAGCCAGGTGGGTGGGAGGGGTCCCTCAACCATTGAAAGTGGGCTTTAATCCCACTTCCACAATTCCGAGCTGTCTGACTTGGGCCAGTCCCTTCCCCTCTGAGTCGTGTTTGACTATGTGATAGGAAGGTTATAAGGCTTGCCTTGTCTTCCCTCCTATTTATTTACTGGAACGCCTGCACCCCAGGGGACCCATGCTGCTGGAACTTTCACTGTAAATACAGTCAGCAATAAATGTGCTGTTTTATGAATTAAATTAATGAAAAAATAGACCTCTATTTGTGGTGCGTGCTCAAAATGATTTTCCTAATAGGGCATACAGTCAAAAACATTTGAAAGCCAGAGTTTCAGAAAAACTTGGTGTGAAAATGCTTTAGAAGGTCCTATCCATGTAAGTGTATCTTGAGACAGTGCCTAAAGAAAACCATCTGGGAGCTTTTCCTGCTTACTGATGATTTTGTCTTCTCTCATGTCATCAAATATATTTTTTTCCCCTTAGAGTAGGAACTGTTGCCTCAGAGCAAGATTTGGGAATATTGAGTTAAAAGGGGAACTGTCTCAGGACGCCTGGGTGGCTCAGTTGGTGAAGCATCTGCCTTCAGCTCAGGTCGTGATCCCAGGGTCCTGGGATCGAGCCGTGCATTGTGCTCCTTGCTTAGCAGGGAACCTGCTTCTCCCTCTGCCTGCCGCTCCCCCTGCTCATGTTCTCTCTCTTGCTCTCTCTGATAAATAAATAAAAATCTTTAAAAAGGGGGGGAACTGTCTCCCCAAGGTGTGTTCTTGGTGCCAGGAGACACACAAATCGCTAGGGATGAAATGGGGGACCCTGGAAAGAAGAATTGTTTCAAATCCAAGGGGCTGTTTTCTTTTGGGGCTTCCGGTTCTTTGGTGTTCTTCCTCCTCACTCATATGTGCTCTTTAGAAGCCAACTCTCAGGAATGTGTGTTTTCCAGAGAAATCCAGCCTGGGGCTGTAAACTGGGTGACCTCTATCCTAATTTTCTGGCTGGTCTTCCTCCAGGTCAGAAGGAAGTGTGGCATGCCCCTTGCATTCTTCCCGCACTGAGCAGTCCACATCTGCCCCCAGATGCAGCCCTCTGGTCCCCACGTAGGACCCACCTCGTCTTCCACGGGGTCAGGACTGCCTTCAGTGCATATGATGGCCCACCCAGGCCTCCATCATCACATCAAATGCACAGACCCCGCTGTGGCCTCTCCCGCCCGGGCTGTGGTCACCCGCCCCTCCTCTGCCAGTGTCATGACCATCCCTGAGGTGGCTGTCTGTTCCCCCCACAGCTGACACCCCTGCTCTCAGTGTCCTACAGAACTGGTAGAGAGATTGCTCTAGTGTGTCCCCTCCTCTGAGCCAGGAGAACCCCCGAGATGGGCTGGGCTTGGGGTCTCCACCCTCCCTTTGTGAACCCCTGCAGCCAATCTTGCCCCCGGTGAGTCTGCCTTCCCTTGGAGTGACTTCTTCCCAAGGAGAGTCTTCATCCGTTCAAGTAAACACTCCCAAGGGCGCCATCTTGCCAATCTCTAGCCATGCCTCAAGATGCCAGATCCTGGGAGATGCAGCTCTTCCCCTCCCTGCTGCTTCTTCTGCTTCGTCTCACTTTCTTCCCTCCAGCCTCTATTCTAGCCCTCTGCCTGCTTGCCTCCCTCTCCCCCTTTACCAGTTCCTTCATGAGAACCACCTGTGCCAGGCACTGTGCCAGGCCCGGGAGGCCCATCCATGAGCACCTAAAGCAGGGAAACCTCATCTTGACTGGGGGGTCCTGGGAGGCTCCCTAAGGAGGGACGGATGGAAGAGGACCCTACCAAGAGAAGAGAGTGCTGGAGGTGGTCCAGGCAGGGGTCAGAGTGGTGAGAAAGTGCAAATCCTAGAGGACAGCTTGATGAATGTTTCACAACATGAAATCCAAGTTACCAGCACCCAGATAAAGAGACAGGCCATTACCAGTACCCCAAAGACCCCTTTGCACCCCTTTCCCATCATGAGCCTCCGGGATGTCCCCAAGGTAAACTGTCCCCAGTCCTGTTCATTTTGATAAGTTCCATCTTGGTTTTATATATATATATATATATAATATAAAATATATTTTATATATGTATATATAAATTTAAATATATTTAATATTATATATTTATAAATTTATATATAAAAGAAAACAAATACAGTGTTGATTCAGGGGATTAAATCAGATGTCCCTGCAAAATAGGACAGGAGACTGTTGTGACAGAGCAGGCAGGTATGTAGAGGGTTTGCCATATAGTTAAAAGATCATCTAACCGATTTCATTATTTTTACCTTCCTCTGTGGGTGGAAAAAACCAAATCAACAAAGTGAGTTGATTTTTTTTTGAAGATTTTATTTTTTTATTTGAGAGAGAGAGAGAGCATGAGAGGGGGGAGGGTCAGAGGGAGAAACAGACTCCCCATTGAGCAGGAAGCCTGATTTGGGACTTGATCGTGGGACTCCAGGATCATGACCCGAGCCAAAGGCAGTTGCTTAACCGACTGAGCCACCCAGGTGCCCTGTGAGTTGATTTTTGCTAGTGCCCAAAAGTATGTAGTGGCCGGAGGCTCACCTAGCTTGAGTTTGCTGGGCTATGGACTGTGTTCTGGGTGGATTATGAACTGCCCCAGTCACGTTCTTAGGCTCAGAGCAATAGGTGACAGATTCAGCATTATCTTCAAGAGAAGCATTATACACACTTGAGTTTTCAAATCATAGTGTCCGGGCCCCACCACTTACTTAACTGTGGAATTTTGGACAAGCTACTTAACTCCAAGCCTGTTTCCTCAACCCCCAAATGGTGATGATAATAGAATCTAACTCAGCAGCCATCATGAGAGTGAAAAAAAGCAAAGGTGGCTCAACAGCTTCATACTAAGTCTGGTACCCAGGAACCATTCAGTAAGTGGCGGCTACGAGTTCGTAAAACCAGACATAGTCCATGGCTGGTGGAAGTTTAGCAGAGCCAGGTAAGAAGAGAGCTGGGACTTCTCAGCTGGAAACCAGGAACACGTATGAGAAGGACAAAGGTGATAACCCAGGCCAGAAAGGGAAAGCCAACACGGACAAAGAGAAGGTCCAGAGAGGGAAAAGGAAGTCATTTTCATGTGTTTCTTCAAGTTCTGTTTTAATAGCAAGTCAGTCTGAACACTCTAAGTATTGCCTGAAGAAACCAACAGATACGTTTGTTTCTGGTGTTGCCACATGTTGCCAAACTAAAAAAGACAGAAGCATTTGGCCAAGGAGAACCGAGCTCTGCTACCGATGGAGAATCCTTAGTCATGGGCACGCTGGAAAAAACGACCCCCCCCCAAAAAAAAAGACCCCCTTGCCTGCCTGCTGACTTGCTGGAGAGGGCCTGGAGAGACCCAAGTCCTGCTTGTGCTGAAGGAGCAGGAAGGCAACACCCTGTGTCAGGGCAGGGTTGCTGGGCGCTTGCTCTGCCCCTTTCAATGTTCCAGCATCCCTTGGGGTGAGCTCCTTGAATGGACACCCGGGGCTGGGAAAGCACAGTTCAAGGGTGGTCACTGTCACCGCAGCCTGAGGAGGACGCACAGACCAGGACTTTGCTGGGACGACACGTGGCGATGGGACAGGAGATTGGTCATTTCTGCTTCCTTCTTTGATTGCATCTCCAGTAAATAAGTTCTCAGGAATTTGAGACAAGAAGGCTTAGGCAAGCCAACATACGTGGGTGGGCAAGGGGGAATTGGCATAAGCCATATTGCTTATTCTTTAACTAAGCTGGGGCCCTGTGGAAAACCCCTCCTTCTTCCCGAAAGGAAAAAAAAATAGGGTGGAGTGGGGAAAGTGCAAATAGTAAGTGTGCAAGGTTGGTGCAGATGGCTTGAAGATAGGGAAAGGGCATTTGGTAAATGGGTGGGGGAATATCCCACTTGCCCAGGAAAGTCTGTGACCAATCTCTGGGGTGAGCAGACCTTGAGGAGGAAGACGGGGTGTGCCCAGAACAAAGAATCGACAAGCAGTTTCTTGCAGGGACTGAGAATCCACCGGATCTAAATCGGGCTCTTAGTTTTGAGTCAGTTGCCTTGAAAAGAGACCCCTCCATCCCCCTCGATGGGAGAGCCCTCCAGAAAACGTTCTTGGAGAGTCTGTTTAAACCAGGATAGCTTCTTCCTGTGGATTTCTGGGCTTCTCCATCTGTCCCCCAGCATAATGAACAAGAAAACGAATTAAGCTCAGTTGGGGGGACCTAAAGAAGGGGATATCCCAAAGAGACTGTATCTAAGCCAGTCTTGGGTGTGACAAAAATACTACAACAAGGAAGATAAATGAATCCCCAGGAGGAAAGAGGAAATTAGGCGGGGGCCTTAGAGAAGGGAGAAAGGGGGAGACCCTGGGACCTGAAGCCGCCGAGGATCCTCGTAGGGTCCTTGATGGGGCTGCTAACTGCCCACTGACACACTATCTATGAAAGATAAACAAAATAATTTCATTAATATGGTGCTGGCGCCATCACAAAGTAATGAAATGAGGAAGCTAAAACTGCCAAGTACTACTGTGGATGAGGAATAGAGATAGACCAGTTATGATTACAGAAAGCCAAGATGGGGGGTCAAAGAAATAATTGTGCCTCCTCGATAAGGCAATGCTACTGGGAGGTTGTGTACAAGCCCTTTAATATCTATTTTTATCCATCCTAGAGCCATACTTACATCTTGAGAGGACAATTACTGGACAACGGACCGAGCGTGAGGATAAGTACAGTGTTCTCTGTTGCAAATTTTGCGTCTGAACAATCAAGCTTTATTCATTTCTTGTTTGCTCATCATGTTAACCTTTTATTATGCAAAACTGTCAATTCAATTGCACAATGCAAAAAAAAAAAAAAATCTGGGACAATTCACAAGCGATGTAGTGATGTTTACCATAGCTGCTAAAAGGAAAAAAACTAACCCGAAAGAATCTGCTGAAGAGGATTCTCCTGCTCTGCTCCGACACTTGGATACTCATTAGCAAGCCGATCTGCTCACTGGGGAACATGAACTGACTCCTACTCAAGTGCACACTAGGAAGGAGTTGGGAGGCCTCCTTTCCTGCACCGAAAACAAAACATTCACACTAGTGAACTGGTGTACGAGAGAAAGCTTGGGTGGTGAGCTCTCAGCAGCAGTTCTCAAATTTAGATCCATAAGATTCACTGGGGGAGGGGGTTGTTACGAAATGGAGAGATCTCCATTTAGGAGGTTTGGGGTGGGGTGTGAGAATCCACAGGTTAACAGGCATCCCAGGAGACTGCTTTGAGGACGGATCTCTGTAGTAGCCCTGGTTCTGCTGGCCCACGGCTTAGAAAAGGCAACCCCCTCCTGACATGCACGCATGAGTCCTGCTAGGACGTTGGTGCTGTCAGAAGGTCGTGGGGCCTTCACAGGGTCAGGAGGTAGGGCTGCCTTCTGTGAGCATGCCGGGGGCCCTGGAGGAGATCCTAGTGGCAAGTCAGGGCCCTTCTACCAGTGGTCAGAGTAAACTTGTAGAGCAGATTTTAGAGGCCACCTCTGCCCACCTCTGTTCCCCAGATGATTCTCAATCTTGGCTGTGCATTAGATCAATCAAGTCGGACACTTGGGGTTGAGTAAGGGTGTTCCTGGCAGTAATATTTTTAAAAAGATCCTTGAGCAATTGTAATGTGCAGCCTGGATTGAGAACCATGGGTTTAATCTTTTTCTTACCTCCTGGGTCCCTCTCTCCGGTCTCCCTCATGGGTGGGGGCATTTCTAATTGCTCAGTGCATGCACCACCCCCTCTGGCTGCTGGAACGCCCCAGCTCTGCCACCCCACACAGCCTGCTGTTTCTGAGTGCGCCATCCCCCTACACCAGCCCTCTCTTGCCGAGAAAACCCTCTTCCCTCAGTATGGTACTAGGGGAGTATGCTAGTTTTCAGGAGTTATGGAAGGAAAATGTGTATTTCTGTACCCCCTTCATTCATAGCATGCAAATGATTAATGGTCTAAGGTCTTAGGGCAAATTCCCTGAGAAACAGACTCTGAGAGGAGATTTATGTGCAAAAGGTTTACTGGGGAGTGTTGTTGGGATCAGTGCCTGTAGGGCAATGAAGGAAGAGGGAGGTGCTGGGCAGAAGGACCCAGACAGAGGCTGTTGCAACAAAGGTCTCAGCAGACCTCCATGGCTGGTCTAGACTCTGGATGGACCTTCAGAACTGTTCCACTCTGAGGCATGAGGGCAAGTCTTTTATATCCCCCACATGGCCCAGTAACTGAATGCAGGCTGTATTTGGGGAGGCCGCATACCCTTGGATGAGGTGACTCTTCAGTCAAGGACAATTCAGGGCAATGCCTGGAGTCCCCCTACTTGGCAGAACCACCAGCTTTCAATGTGCCAGCGGGTGGTTCTCAGTCAAGTAGGGAGACTTCATGTCCCAGTCCTGAGCCAGGATCTACCTGTCACACTACTTCATCCACTATACCAACCATGCTTGGGGTCTTTATTTTCTGAGAGAAGATTTTCAGTAGAAATGAATACTTTATTAGTTTGCTTGAGCAAGGGAGGCTTCTCAGTGTCCTCCAGAAGCAACATGGTTGTGGTGTAAAAATCTCTGGATTCAGATTAGAATCCCAGCTTGGCCCCTTACTTAACTTAGGCAAGTCATTAAAATCTCTAGGCCTCCATTAAATTGTCTTTGCAATGCGGCTGACCAATAAGTACCTTGCAGAGTCACTAAGCACTAAATGCGATGGGTGGGCAGTATCTGGGACAATGGAGTTTGTGCGAGCTGGGCCTTGCCCACTGCTTGTCCTGGTAGCTAAGATACTGAGAAAACACTGTTCCTGGGGGGATGGTTGCCCCATATTTGGATGCAGACTTGCTCAATTCTCAGACACCCGCTTCTCTCCCTGGAGTACCACAAGTGCCTTGCCCAGTTTTTCTTTAATTGGTGGCCTGGCTCCCCTGGGTCTGAAGAAATCTTAAAGTCAACATGAAAGGCAACTACCAGTGGGGCCAAAGAACTGACTCACGCTGAATTTCTGCTCCATCAGTGGGGTTGCCAGTCTCCCAAATGATAATTCATTATGAAGTTGACTAATAACCAATTTTAGCAAAATGTTGTGAGACTATCAAATGAATAAAAAATGGAACTCAAAATAAAATATTCAATATGATTTCAACTGTTTTACAATGGCTCAGGGAAATTCTGGAAGCAAAAATGTCAAGATGTCACAATAACTGCCTCTGTATGGTAAGACTGTGGCTGATTATATTCATGCCTTCTTTACATGTTTCTATAGTTTCAGTTTTTTCCATGAGGAGCAGTGGGTGGAGAAAGAAAAGGAAAAAGAAAATGGATCATGTGTTCCCACTGGGGGAAGGCACATGCCAATGTTTCCCACCAGCTTTTCCCACATATCACGATGGGCTTGTAGGGGGCGTTGCAAAGCATAGTGTCCATCTCATTTCCCCGGGGCTAAAGATGTCTGTGTGAGGAGATGTTAGCAAAGCAGACACTTTGGGAGCTTGGCTGCTGGGTGTTTTGGGGGAGACCTGTTGTCAGCTGCAGGCTGCCTGCTGTGTGGGTGCATTTCCCCGCCTTCACTGGATAATTTTGTCACCAAGGACAATATTTGTAATTCCGCATGAGTAGCTCTCCTGGTGAGACTGAGGGGGCCGCTGTGGTGCGGGCACCAGGGCTGAGGTGAGAAGGCTGGTATTCCAGTTGTGTGAAGAGATGGGAAGCTGGATGTAGATTGAGGGGCATGTGGAATCCCAAGATGATGGGAACTGGGCTTGGATGGGTCCTGGTAAGTCCCATCTGTCCTCAAAATATACCCTCCCTCTGATGACCCACTGCTAGGATACCTGGAGGCCAGCAAAGAGGAAGGCATGACCAACTATTGGGGAAGTTAGAGGCCTGTCCTGGCAGCCCTCAAGAACAAGGCCACAAGAAACTAGATCAAACCAGACAGGCCCAAGATGGTAGGTGCCATGACAGGAAACCCCTGACCAAATAAGGAAGAAAAAGCATGAAATCCTGCTTCCAAGAAATCCCCACCACAAGAAAAGAATATTTCACCCTCTTGTTAACAACTGCCAATAGTTTTATAGAAACCATATAGAAACCTGAACCCCAGTGAGGAATACCCTCCCTCTCTCTCTCTTTCTCTCCCTCTCCCCTCCCCACTCACCCACTCACATTTCAAGAGTGTACTTTCGTGTTAATAAACTTTCCGGCTTGTACTGCCCACCCACCGTGCTGTGTCTGTTTTTGAATTCTTCCTCATATCCAGACCAAGAGCCTTTGATGATATCTTTGAGACAGGCTGGGTTGAGGCTTGAAGGCCAGTAGTCTCCTCAGTTCACCTGGCAACATTGTTAGCCTCGGGACCTTTGGGGACAGGTGTCATTTCACTGGTTTCAAGTGTTTTTCAAATGTTTAACCCATTATTGAGAGAATCCTTAGCAGAGAGCCAGGCACATGGGAAGTAGGTAGGTGTTGAGGAAGGGAAAGAGAGATTTTAGAGCTGGAGGAGGGTCTTAAGATCACCTTGTCTTACCCATTACAGGGAGAAGTTGAGCCCCAGAGAGGTTAATAATGAGCCTGGAGTGACCTCTGTCTGAATCAAGACCAACATTCTGCAACTGTAGGCTGGTGTGTTGTGAGTTGAAATATCTGCCCCAGAATAACATATGTAGGAGTCCTAACGCCCAGTACCTCAGAATGTGACCTTATTTGGAGAGATGGTCTTTACAGAAGTGTGTAAGGCACACATCTGTATGTAAGGCAAAGCACAACTCTGAAAGTTGACATCTGAGCCCACCTGAAGAGCCCTGGCCTGTGCAAGGGAAGATGGAATAGATTAGTCATTCTGAATATATTTTTTTCTTTAAAAAAATCAGTGGAACTGTTTCTTCAAATTTTAATTGGAGGCCCAAATAAATAAAAATTAATAATCTTTTTTAAAAAATGAGTTGCTCTGTTTAAAAAGTGGGCAAAAGACTTGAATAGCTGTTTCTTCAAAGAAGATATATTAGTGGCCAATAAGCACAAGAAAAGATCCTCAGCCTCATTAGTCTTCAGGGAAATGCAAATCAAAACCACAACGAGGTACCACTTCACACGCATTCCAGTAGATATCATATATATAAAAGGAACATACCATGTATTGGCAAGGATTTGGAAAAATCAGAAGCTTTATACACTGCTAGTGGGAACAGAAAATGGTGCAGCCATCATAGAAAACAGTACAGAAAACGCTGTAGAAAACCATTCCTCAAAAAATTAAATACAGAATTATCACATGATCTAGGGATTTTACTTCTGGGTGTAGATCCAAAAGAAGTGAAACCAGGGACTCAGATGGGTATTTGTCCACAGCAGCATTATCCACAGGAGCCAAAGAAGGAAGTAACCCAAATGTCCAATGATGAATGAATGGATCTTGAAACCGTGGTATATACACACAACATAATATTCTTTAGTCTTAAAAAGGAAGGAAATTCTGACATATGCTACAACGTAGATGAACCTTTTAGACATTATGCTAAGTGAAATAAGCCAGTCACAAAACGACAAATACAATATGATTTTACTTGTATGAGCTACACAGAGTAGTCAATTTTAACACACATACACACACACACACACACACACACACAAGCTGTTCTCATGGAACTGTTGAATTTATGTTTATGTATTTGGGCTTCCAAATAAGTTTCAGCCCCCGTGCCCCAGCCTAGATGTGAGGCCCCTAAAACACCTCAGAAGGACCTGAAGGAAGATATCTGAGAAACCCTGGGCTCCAGGATCCAGAAGCTCATTCCAGTTCTGACCTCCCAGGAATTCATGACCTATGC